GCTGCTAATAATGACAGTGGAATCAAGTTAATAGCTGTGATTTGATAACATGGCGAGCTCAATGTGGCTGACGGGTTTAAAAAGTGCATTTGATATCAGTTTTTATTAAAAGGCAGTAAGACTGAATCTTCTCATCTTGCAGAAAAAGTGAACTTGCCTGCAATTAAACTTTATGACTAAGAAACAGTCTTAGTTTAAAATGTGTTTCAGTATTCAGTGTTGGTGTTTGAACAGATTTTCAGTCAAACTGTCAGCAGCTCCTCTTTCACACAGAAACACCCCCTCAGTTTTTACAGCCTCTTGGACCTCGCTGTGTGTCCTAACCTTTCTGTTTTCACTGTGGATGTTTTTCTCTCCACATGGGAAAAAATGCATGGCACTCTTTGTTGCTTGTGATGCTGTTGTCCTACTAGTGGGGTTGTGGGAATATTGTGTCAACAATAACATTGCTGCCCCTGAGGCTTTGTTATTCCTGTTGGTGTGCCTGTCTCAGCAGATGCCTTTCTGACATGCTCGTACAGATCACTTCTTCTCTGTGGGAGGAAACTAACAAACTTTCCTCACTGTCCTCTTTATGTACTGAAACACACTGAATGCTGCTGTCTGTGTGTGCCCTTTATTTATATGGGTATCCTCCTTAGGCTGATGAGCGATACCGGAAGAACATCCAGGGTTCTCCTCAGTCGGCTCAGACCAAACCGCAGCAGCCTCCGGTGCCGCCACGCTCCGAGTCTTCCTACCCTAACGGGAACTCAGCATCTGAGGCGCCTGCCATGCACCGGCCTGTGGAACCACAGGTAAACACTAACCTCAGGCTCCTCCTTCTTTTGAATTATGCTTTACTTTCACAGCTGTTGTACAAAGGCAGCATTTTGAGTCGGTGTCCAGTGGATAATTCACCGCTAGTTAACATCTGCTGGTGCGGTTTTTCTTGCAGGACTTGGCCGTGTTGTAACATAATGTCCAGATCGATGCACTGAGGCTGGCAGGAAATCTGAGTTTTCATGTTTTCAGCTTAAGAACAAGTTCATCTCCATTTCTGTTTGTTTAATCATGACTTGTACTGTAAGCTCCTCAAACCAAAAGGGAACATACATGGAGTCACATGACATGTATGTCATATGATGCCTGCTTTCCTCTCCATGATCTGACATTTAGCAGGCTAGCTGTTTTCTTAACCGTCCTTTCTATACTGTAATGAACTGCACCACCTTCTGTTGTTTTTATTTCAAGTTCCTGTTTTGGCTTCAAATTAAAGCCTTTCCGTTGGCAGGAAGGTAAAGTGTGACTGATAACTCTGTGCGGTTTGGTCTCAGTGGATCAGTTAATGGTGTTGCAAAAGAGGAAGTGTGAACGACGTATCCAGCCTCTGTCTCAGGATCTGAACACAGTTTCTCTTAATACAGAAGGTTTCCAAACTAAATAGAAATGTGATATCAGAGTTATCACATCTGATATAATACATGTATGTTATAGCTACAAGACGATAATATCTTGATATTGAGTTTGTGTAGCTGACCCTGAACGTGGATGCTCACTTCCCACCAGCTCTGGCCTTGTTAAAAACGAATAGATTTATCTTCTTGTCATTCACTGCACATGTCAAGGAAACTGAAATCTTTGCATTTCTATAAAATTCCAGTTAATGTGGAAACACGAACATCAGTCTTATCTGTAGTTTGACTTTTGTCTGGCAGTATCTCTCGTCTGCATCGACTCCAGATGTTGCCTGTGCCTTTAAAACCTTTGTCTTATAATATCTGATAGGTTTCTCTCTTTCAGGTGGTTTTCTTTCTTTAATCTTATGTAAATGTTTTCACTTGTTGTGCTGCGTTAATGTACTTTTCCTCCTTCCTGAAGTCTTTAGCTCAGCTCTTTTCAGGGTCTGGATCCAACTTTCTGCCGTTGTTGAACTTCTCTAGACTCTTTTCAACATCAGGGTTGTCGTTAATTGTGTTTCCCCTCATGATACTGCATTAAATCTCAAAGCTAATGAAAGATGTTCCTTTTCATTTTCAGACAGAAAAACTTGTTTCATGAGCACACAAAGCCTGCGCCTGCTTATGAAAGATTTTTTTTCATATAAAAGAAGTCTCTCTTTTTGCAAAAGTTATTGTGACCATGAAAATGAAGTGATCACAACCCTGATTATATATTCTTCTTCCATGATAAACCCATTGATTGACAGGTTATCCTCCCACTTGTCAGAGCAAACAAAGGTACTTTCACTAAATGTGTAATTACTACAGCGGCTCTTTATTTCTCTGAATGTGCAAACAGTATGTGTGTGTTTGTCGGGTGGTATGTTGGGAGTTTGTGTGTCTTTGCTCTACATACTGTACCTTCTCATTGTGTGCTGGTGATTACAGTCATCCATAATTCATGGGCCCCCAGATTTGCAGCAGGGTGATTCAGACGGTGTTAGTCATCTATCCAGTGAAGCATCCAGCCCACTAAACATGAATAATCACAGTTCATTGAAGTCAAGCTGTTTTGAATATGTCACCTAAATTAAATTGTATAAAAACGATGCTGTAAATTAGTCAAATGGGGATGGGGCGATGCTGTAATTCACTGCTGTGAAACATTTGCCATAGTATTAAAAGTGGCTTAATCAGTTTTCTCTCATTAGCTCCCAAGCTTAGATGTGGTGTTGTGCTGTCGTACATAGATCAGTGTACGGACTTGGATGGGTTCTGAGCTAATTAAATAAAATGAAAACTGCTTTAATTTCCAAGTAAAGAAGGAAGTAAGGGGATAGTCGGTATTAGAGTTGGATGTGAGCCTGATCTCATGGCTCTGAATCCCCGTTTTCAGTTCCCATCAGTTAAGTTGTGTTTTATAAGAGACGCTTCACTGGCAGTTAGTTTACCTACATATACGAATGAATACATTGTCAATGCTTTCTTAAATGACAAATGACTGTTCTAAAACATTTTATATGAGCTTTAACACCTCTGTGGCTGAGGTGTGGTTATGTTTAAACAACTGAAAATAAGTGGTCAAAGTGACGGGGAGATTGTAGTTAAGGTGCAAGAAGGTTGTGGACCACAGTCTCTAGCGTCAGTCACGAGCTTCCTTGCCCCCGTCATGTGTGTCCATGCTGTGTGACCTGTATGTGGTTGTGCCTGCCTGTACTGTATGTTTGCATGTCAGCTTGTGTTCTTGCTTTGTAAATACAGTTCATCTTCATGCGTGGTGATGGTGGTGAAGCCGAGTCCTCCAGAAAATTGGTGAAACCCAGGTTTCACCCTAATGTCGCTTAATGTTGGTGTAAATCTAGACAGGAGACTAAATTGAAAGCAGAACATACATAAAATGTCTTGGAGTTGCATGAAATGAAAGGTACAGTAGAACAAGTGAGCTCTTAGGACCTACCTGTATTTCTGTATTGGTTTATCTGGATGGTGGAGATAAATGTCATCTTCTCCTCCTTAAATCTTAAATGGAAGTGGATGACACTTGGAGGCTCCTTGATAACAGTGGTTTCCCACATACTGGTTTTGACTGGGATGACGTTCTTATTCCTGCCACATTCTAACTATTGGATGGAAAAAGAATACTGAGTCTGACCCATATTTCATTCCCGATCCACTCAACCTCATCTCTCTGTTCACTGCCTGCACTTCTTTTTCTTTTGTTCCCACACCCCGTGTCACTCCCACAAACCAACATGATTCTTTCTGTTGCTCAGGCTGCACCTTTTCTCCCATCAATTAATCTTGTGGCTAGAAAAAAAAGCTCTTGGAATTTCTTGGAGTCAAATTTCTGTGTAGCCCCAGTGACAACATTGGCACAACTGTTCCTTCTTTCCTCTTGTTGCACTCTAACAACATGGGTTCTTTAGAAGCTCTGCTGAGATTTGGAGCCATACTTTCCAACCATGTGCCACAGAGGCATAAAGGTCTTCACAGGGTTTCCTTCGAAACAAATGCTTCCACAGCAGATTTTCACTTCTGTAGTTGGAGTCAAACTAAGAACTGACATCAGCTGCTGTGGTGTCAAGCTGGTTGGTTGTAAATGGTTCCTGACTCCACAACTAAGACTATCAGAGGAGGACAGAGACTGAAAATCACTGCATTAGAATTCCTTGAAAGTAAAACGTTCTCACCCTTCATCACTTTTAGTGTGGCTGAACTGTGCTGTCAATTGACATAAAGGCTGAAGCAGCAGGAGGTGAATACATGTCTTGTTCGTCCTCCTTGAGAGCTCAGTAATGTATCATTTAAATAAAATTCTTATCCTTGTCAGCTGGGCTGAAATCAAACACTTTAGATAAAGCATGTCAGCAAATAGGAATTAAATGAGAGGCCAAAGTAACGTCTTGTCAGTCCATGCTTGGGACTAATTGGGCGTTATAAAAAAAAAAGGCTGCAGCATTTGCTTTCTGATAAATGAAGGAATGGGGCTGAGAGGTCATTAAATAAGCTACTTAAAGAGGTTTATAGATCCATAAGTGATGCAGTGTATGAGAAGACAAGCTCCTCTTGTTCCTTGATATGATTATTTACTCACCACTACTAGAACTGCTTCCTCTCGTGCACCAGCTGTCAGGTTTTGTGCAAGCATTGTGGCTGTTTCTATAGTGGAGCTGCCAGGTCTGAATATAGATTAGGTTTTGAATGACAAAAAGCCTTTTCCTTAACAGATGGATGAATCAAGTGGCGCTACATATTCAGTGTTTGAAGAGGCCTCAAGTTTCGTGTCAGTGTTCCTGAAGTTTTTCCCATTTCCCTCCTGTATGGCTCCAATCTGACAAACTCCTAAAGATATCCTGAAGCCCTTGTCCTACTGCATGCAGACTGACCCGCCCTTCCCCATTGTGTTCTGTTTTTGCTGTCTGTAAGGTCCGTTCCCATCTGGCTGCTTTAAAGAGCAGCAGCAGCGTGGCCTCATCGATCTCCTCCTCTACCACCCCGCCCACTGTATCGCGGTCACACTCCTTCAGCGAGCCGCTCACCCCTAGCTTTGAAAATCTTCACCTTCACAACAGCCAGGAAACCCACCAACATCATCACCCTCCATCTTCATCATCATCATCATCATCCTCATCATCATCCTCATCAGCTCCTGCACGCACTGACCCGCAACTACATCCCCAGCCTAGGCCCTTGCCCCATGACCCGGCCCTTTCAGAGGAGGCTCCACCCAGGGTAAGGGCAGGAAGACAGACCAATGTAGTCTCTCTGTCAACTGAGAAAACAGGACGATCGTGCTGATTCTTAGGAGCTCACACTCTCATTATCCTCAACTATTCATTTCATTACATTAATGGCTTCCCATCCTCTGCCTGGTTCTCTATGCAATCAATAATTCATCTTTTTGTTGGCTTTTCTTGTGGCACAGAAAAAGATTGTAGGGGACTTATAGATTATTTAATTAAATCCACATTAAATTAACAGGTGAGCAGGGTGGTTGGCAGCTTTAAAGTGCTCCTGCCCCTCAAAAGAAGATTCGTTGTCTACCTTAGGTTTTCTGAAGACATAGTTCTGGATCTATTCTCACAATACACAGACCACCATAAGAAAGGGGAAGTTCAGAAAGCGGCAGGTGACCTCAGACCAGTAATCACGTGCCCTGCTTAAAAACAGTTGGGATGAGTTGTGAGTGAGTGGCTGTGTACCCTCTGTGTTTAATTAACATTGTGGGTGCAGGTTGGGTCCAGTCCAGATTTGATTTGGAGATAAATGCAGGTCGTTTGTGGGGGCAGATGCAGGCTTGTAAAACTGGACCCATGCAAGATTGTGAGCCAACTTGCTGTTAATATGAACCAGTCTGTGGACTCGTTCTAACCCAACCCCAGGCACTGAGACAGTGCCAAACACTAGGACAAGCTCAGACCATGTCTTTCTGTCTCATGCTGTTTTTCTTCCCTGATCAAACAAATTTGGCCTTTCACTGTAAAAGCTCAAAAGGATATAAAAGTTCTGTAACTGCAGAAGAAGAGACAAACAAGGAGAGGTTTTCCTTGCTCAATGTATACTGTAGGGCGTTGGATGCTATGGGAAAGACAGGATAGCTATTTGACGCTACCCACAAGTGTGGGCATTGAGAAAGCTCTAAATTCAGTCATCAGAGCCAAAGTTAGCAGCCCTTCAGAAAAGGAAACCCTCTGTTATAAACACACCACTGCCAAGCTGAACCGTAGCCCTGTCAAGGCTTGTCCATAAACTAAACTAACTGTAAACAAACCAAAATGATGGCTGACTGGGAGTTCTGTTGTGCTGTGCTGCGCTTTGGATGCTGCCAGATGTTCTGCATTGGCTCTACAGAATTTAGTCATGGTGAAAGGTATGACTGTGACCAGTGACTACTGGTGTAATATAGTTTTACAGTGGTGCTGTGGGGCATGGCAGGGTGAGATGAGGGGTTTAGTTGGTTTCAGAACATGGTGACAGGGCAGCTATATTGGAAATCGATCTCTCATAGGCAGCAGTGACTGTGATAAGGAGAATACACACTGTCACTCTCTTGTGGCTTCTGATATACAATTGTAAACATTCCCACCTACTAGACTGTTCACTTTTAGTTCCAGTTGGTTTGTAAACAGTTTCTGATATGCTGTGAAGACAGTCGGCTTGAATACTAGCAGAGGTTCTCATTTCATTTGGCTAAAGTTACCCTGGTATTGCATGGTATAGCTTTTAATGATGCCGCTACTAAATTGTTGAAGAGGAAATGCTGAATAGGCTGTGATGTGCTTTGTGTATACACTGAACCTTTAAGCACACTCAAACTGATGGAGTGTGTATGTGTGAGCTGGTCACTGTTTTATCACAAAAGGTTCCTGTCAGGACAACATCAAGGTCCCCAGTGTTGCCAAAACGAGAGTCGCCTCATCACCATGGCAACGTCACACATAGCGGCCATGCTGGGCATCGCAACGGCACCAGGTAAACTCACATAACCCCACTGGTTCTTAAGATTGTGAGTCTTTCTGTTTTTGCAGACTTTTCTCTTTGTGTTCGTCCTCACACTTCTGGCCACTACTGTCCCTACTCCTCTTCTCTCGTCATCTTCTCCATTCATAACCCAGAAGTACCAAATGTAACTTTGAATACATACACACTGTTAAAAATGTAATTAAGAGGCTAGAAATAATTTTCTCAAGAAACCTTTATGTACAGTTGTCTGGTATAACAGTGTGGTCATGTGAAAGTTGGAATGGATTTGGTCTAACATGGCTGATGGTTGTATAAATAGGATGGATATCTGTGGGATTACTGAAAATGAGTATAAACTCTATATAAATAAGACGAGCAATGGCAATAAAAAGTGCATGGTCTTATGATTTATGTAAGTAATACAAGAACTATGAGATACAAATCAGAAGGTCTGAAAATCTGTATTTTAACTAATAGTTCCTGAAAGTTCATGAACCACATGTAACATAAAATTGGCATCAAATTACAGGTGAACACAATAGGCCCAGAATAATGCCCTGTGGGACTCCGCTGGTTATATCTTTCAAGGAGAATATAATAGTGTAGCGTTTACAGAGGACATTTTATGGGAGATGAATCATTTTAGGACTCTGACACAAATTAGCTCCTAAGTAAGTAAAAATTCACACAATCAATTGGTTAAAAAGGCCTTTGCAGCCTTAATGACAGGAGTCAAAGTTATGTGAAGCAGTGTTCAGCATCAGGCTGCTGTTTGCAGCTAAATGACATGAAAAATGAGTTCCTCAGAGACTCTGGGGGAAAACAAATGTTTGGCTTGTTTGGAGAGCGATCTAATAGACACACACAGAATCTGTGTTTGTATTGTACACTTAGTACTGTCTGTCTGTGCTGCTACTGTCTGTGGATTTGTGTAGGAGGGTTTATGTAATAGTGCTAGCTGTCTAACCTTGTGATGCTTCTTTACTTGTGTGTGTGTGTGTGTGAATGTGCACATTCACAGGAACATGCACAGTTTTCTTTTCCTAAGCCACAAGTCTTCTCATGAGATTCACTGTCATCTCTCCCTTCCTCTTAATCTGCAGTATTTTATTTTTCTCTAAAACGACTCCTACTCTGTTCTTACTGCACTAGTGCTTATTTTACTTGATATAATCTGGACACTTCAGAGCAATAATCATTTTTAAAAAGTGTTTTAAATTGTTAAGCACAGTAATCATTTCTGAATTATTACAAAACATACTTTTTATAGTGGGGAATTTAAAAATCGATTTGAAAAATGGATTATGCAAAACCCCATTGAAAGTAACAGTACAAACATTCTGTTCACCATTTCACCATTTATTCCAATATGATCAGCAGCTCTTTGCTCTCAAAGATATACAGTATTACACATTCTGAGATTTTCTAAGATATTCAGAAATGTTTGAATTGAATATCAGCCCAAAATATTAGCTACTCTGTAAAATAAAAAAGATAAAAACTTACCTGATGCTTTCAGATTAAATCCTAATATACAGTAGAAGCAACAGAACCTCTGCAACCCACCATCTGAAAGTTTTTTTTACACTTCAGCTCTGTCTTGACTCTGGTGTCTGTTGGCTCTGCAGTGCAGTGGAGCCTCGGCTGCTGGGGGAGCGAGTGGAGAAACTGGTTCCCAAGACAACCAGTAACAGTGGCAGCGGAGGCTCCAGTTCCTCCAGCAGCTCCAGTAACTCCAGCTCTCAAACCGGTTCTCACTGTGGCTCTGGAGAGAGGTTCAGGGCCCGTTGTGAGTTCACACACACTAACAGATCAGCACTGATAGACCTGCAGGAGATGGACAATAAAACAGCCTCTAAAATTCAGTTGTGCTCAAGTTCTGTTTTAGTAAAGAAGCTACACAAACACTCAGATGAACACACATTTAGATTTGCCAGTTTTCCCAGAATCACTTAATAATAAGAATAACCGTTTCACCTCCACTTCCTTCAGCCTCTTCCAAATCCGAGGGTTCGCCTCTCCAACGGCCAGAGAATGCTGGGAAAAAACCAGAGGAGAGGAGGGACCCGGTCAGGCCGAACAGACCAGCGGTGAGAGTCGACTCAAAGCTGACTGACCAGCAGTGTAGCTCGCTGGGATAGATCTAGATCTAGAGCTGTGTGTGGATAGAGGTGGTGGGACATGATGGCACACTGCTTTGGGTTTTGTTAAAAAGCTGGACTGCGTGTGATGGTTTGATGCGGCCTGGAGATTTTTCTCAGCTGTGTGAATGATAAATAATTAGCTCCTTCCTTCTGTGATCTTCTTATCATCCAACAGAGTGACATGATATGATGGATTGAGGCCACTGGCTGAAGGAGTCTCTGCACTTATCACTTGCTTTTTCTCCACTGGTCTCTCTGCCTGGGTGACGGCCATCTTAACTCATGCCTTCTCTAACCCCAATAAAGAACTGACCTTTTCTTCTCTCCTGTTTTAATTTTTCATCTTTGCAGCTCTAATAATTGTCTCATTATTAGAATTAACCCACTAACCTTACCTGCACTAGTTTGGAAGAACATCAGCTGTACGACAGTCATCTCTTCACTCGCTTCATCTTTTGGCTTTGCTGCTCTCACGTTGGCTTCTCATTGGCTAGTGTTTAACCACGCCTCCTCTCCAGCAGCATTCTGTTTCCTGCTTTACATTTTAAAGAAGATTAACAGAAAGTCTTATGACAACTTAGCTAAGGACTTGTACATAAAATGCCCAGATGAAGAATGGACAGAATTCCAAGCAAGGGAAAAAAAAAATAGAAATCAGAGATAAAATAACCTTTGACCCAGGTTTTACCTTTCACCTCCTGACCTTTAGGACCTGACAGCTCTGGCCAAGGAGCTGCGTGCGGTGGATGACGGCCGCCCACCAAATAAAGTGACAGACTATTCCTCATCTAGCGAAGAATCAGACACCACTGATGAAGATGACGATGAAGAGGTGGACCAGGAGGCAGGCGAAGAGTCGACCTCTGGGCCGGAGGACTCCAAAGCTGTGTATGTACGCAGGGTTAACCTCTGATCTCATAGACAGGTTGCACTGACACAACATGGACCAGGTGGTAACAACAGGATGCACCAGTTCAGGATAATGGAAAAGTCTGATTTCTCTCAACCAGGTTTACCTGAAACCTTCAAGTCAAATTTTATTTGTATAGCGTCAAATCACAACAAAAGTCATCTCAGGACACTTTACAAAACCAGGTCTAGACCTTACTGTTATCACTTATTACAGAGGGAAACCCAACAAATCCCCCTGAGCAGCACTTGGCGTCAGCGGGAGGAAAAACTCCTTTGAAACCATAGAGACATGTCGTCTTCCTTGTGTTCCACCAGCGTGGAACACTATGTAATTATTGTCAAAGTTGCAGCCAGAATGCAAGATGTTTGTGTTGAAACACTCCTCTCCTTTGTAGTTCTTCCAGGCTAAGTAATGGAGAGACGGAGTCAGTCAAAACCATGATCGTTCACGATGAAGGCGAGAGCGATGCGGGCTCGATGCCCTGCAAAGACAGCACGCTGATCGTCAGACAGGTACCGGCTGCTGGGGTTTTGGTTCACCCACTTTTAGTTGCTTTTGCTGTTTTGTTCATTCCAGCCCCACGTGTTTTCCCATTTTGTTTTTCCAGTTGTTTGTTCTGTTTTGTTCTTACACGTTGTGGCTGGTGGAGAAGCTTAGTGCAGATTTCAGTTAGACGTACATTAGGAGCTCTTGCTAATTCATTAATCCTATTAATGTTATTTAGGTTGTTTTACTTTTTTTTTTAACGGTCTGTTTAGGACATTTAGATTTTTCTTTCTTTTTTTTACGGTCTGTTTAGGACATTTAGATTTTTAGTACTAAATCGATCAGTCTCTCATGCAGTTCATACCAATACACATGATGAAGGGTCAGTTTCCTGGTACCAGTGCACCACAGAATGACACCTTGTTTCACCATATAACTGACTAATAACAGTTTTCTGTCCACCTGTAGAATAGCCACTGTAGTTTACCCTTTGCTCTAGCTACCACCTTCCCTTCCCCTGAACTCATCAGGAACACATCTAGACCCAAAGCCGTCTGCCCCTCTTTCTACTTCCAGAGTGCAGGTGACAACAGAAAGCGTCCAGGCCCTGGCCCGGGCCAAACCCAGACCCCTGGCCTGCTTGCAGGCTTTGCCCCAAGCCCTAGTTCGGCACCAGTCGCAGGCCTCAGCCAGCATACCCCCAGCCCTCACCATCACCACCACCACCATCACCATCACCCCACACAGCACTCGGATAGGAACGGCTTTGCCAGTCGCATCCACCACCTCCCAGACCTGATCCAGCAGAGCCACCATTCCTCCCCTTCCTCCTCTGCATCCAACTCCCCTTCCTCCTCCAGCCTTGCCAGCCCCTCTTCCATGTCCCCCCAGAGTCCTCTGGACAAGCTCAGCATCCTCACAGAGGTATGTCACCCAGTGCCAATGCAGACAACTGCTTAAGGATGCAACCTCTTGTGTAACCTTGTGAATATGAGAAGCAAAGAGGTCGAAGTCGTCCTAATCTGCCATAACTGGGAACACAGTAGAGTAGACCCCAGTTCAGCCCACCAGTTCATTAGTAATAATATTATTATGGCATTTAAAAACAAAGTTCTTTCCATAGTTCAAACTGGCCATGATGGTGAATTTGGTAGGGTGGCCTGTGCTGCTACACGTTCTCTGCAGAGGGAAGTACAACATTTTTTTGCGCAGTTAATTTATTATACACAGATTTTTGTACTTTGTTTTAAAATGCAAAGAATAAAAATCTATTTCAGGGGAGTGATTTACATCTGTAGCCCTGTCAGTCCTCAGTGAGTGTTGGCTTTACGACCACAGGAGCCTGTTAGCCCTGATTTAGTCTTTTTTCCTGAAGTGTCCTCTGAGGCCGGTTGTGGTTTTACAAGCATTCCCAAACATCTAAATCTCGTTTCTTGATGTTGCCTATTTTCAGCCAGCGAGTCATATTCTCACATTCCCCAGACAATAGCCCGTAATGAACAGAGCAGTTAGAAGCGCAACGGCAAGTATATTTCCCATGAAAATGCATTGTTTCCTCTTTGTTCCTATGTTATGTTTTTACCCTCCATTGTTTTTGCATTTTTATTTCTCAGTATTTTATCATTTTACCCTCTGACTGAATGTCCACCGTACTCGCATGCAACACGTACAGAAAACCCTTTTGCCTGCTTGTTTGACTGCATCTTGTTAATTGTTCATATTAATTTTTATGTGTAAACATCTAATGCTGTTCAGAATCTTCACATTCTGTCACCATTAAATCTGAATTCTGTCTCTCTGTAGAGCCAGTCCAGTAACAACATGCAGAAACACAAGTCTTCTTCCTCCTTCACTCCGTTCATCGACCCACGCCTCCTCCAAGTCTCTCCATCCACTGGCAGCGCTCTCAACAATGTTGGTATGTCCCTTTCCCCAGTGACAACTGGGAAAAAAACCCCACAGTCACCAACAGGGCTGTTCCTGAGTAGCAGTTTCTGGGCTCCTGATATTTGGTGGTAATAACTATCAAATATTCAAATATCCGCTATGTGGGAGGGTTTAATAGGCTGATATTGTGCTGCAGTTAAAAGTACCTCTTTGCCCATCTGGCAGTACTTTGGGTTAGAAAATACAACAAATGTGAATACTAAAATTGAAAACCGATGACCTACCTAACGGATGAATATCCGAAAGGTTGGATATTCGGGTCAACAAAAGGTTCATAGCCTTAAAGAGCTGTGGTGGAAGAAAAAGAGGTGGTGGAAGAAAAAGAGGTGGTGGAAAATCCTTTACCTAAATAAAAGTACTGTTGCAAGTAAAAGTCCCATGTTCAAAATGTTACTCAATTAAAAGTACAGAAATATTAGCATCAAACATACTTAAAGTACTAAAAGTAAAAGTACAGAAATATTAGCATCAAACATACTTAAAGTACTAAAAGTAAAAGTACTCATTATGCAGAACGGCACATTTCACATTCCTGTGTATCATATAGTTGTAATATAATTACTGATGCATTATTGTGGACATCACAATTACTGTTGCAGCTGGTAAGGGGGGGGGGTCTGAATTCCAGGCCTCCACAAACCTTTTCATCAAAAGTTCCAGAAGTTTCTTGAAGTAGTTCAGCTACTTAGAATTTGCATATTAAGTTTAGGACCAGTTTAAAAATCACAAGTTAAGAAAAGTGGGTCAGTCAGAGTTAATAACAACATTTATGTTTTATCTGCTGTGTTTTGGCTTTTCTTCAGTGTTTTAAATCACATATAAAACTAAAACTAACATACAAGTCTGCATTGGTTTTGGAATTGTAGCCTATGATTCTAAATCAAAAACAGGTTTCTCTTGAGGGATTGACGTGTGTGTGAAAGCTTCCAGTTCACAACCAAACTACAAGCAGCATGTTAGTGTGGGGTCACTGATTCACCAAGGTCTCAGAGCTCATTGGCTGCTGCACTTTACAAACAGTCCTTTCTTATCATAGCAGTCCTCCTGTTCCCATCATCGCTCAGAGGGCTGGCTATCGACAAGGCCAGAAGGACTCTGGTGTTTCTGAACCAGTACTTCACCTGATGCAGCTGGTGACCAGCCAGTGACCCCTTATTATACTAGATTGTCCAGTCAATCACAGATTTGATGAGTTTTGAAATGACATGGCTGCAGAGGAGCCATAAACCACTGCTGTCACATGAAGCAAGGTTTGGTGGACTGTTTCCTCTAAACAGTTGTATGACAATCAATCCTGTGTTCATGATGAACCCAAGTAAATGAAGAACCACCCATTCTTCTAATGCTGATCATTAGAGCGACCCCCACCCTAAATTCCAAAAATTCTACACCGTCCTTCCTACGCCGTTCCTTTTGACCTTGCAGGTTACAGCAATGATGCCCGGCTGGCAGAGGCACTGAGGGCTGACCCATCTCGGAAGGGCTCAGTGGTCAATGTCAACCCAGTCAACACCCGCCCTCAGAGCGACACGCCAGAGATCCGCAAATACAAGAAGAGGTTCAACTCTGAGATTTTGTGTGCTGCACTCTGGGGTACGAACAAACACACAGACCTGTACTAAAATCAAATTTCAGCAGAACTACATCAGTAAATGACTAGCCTTTAAACTGGACATGTGATAAAACATCTCAGCAGGATTATGTGAAAACCAGCAGCATTAAACACCACTTTCACATTTAAAGTTTTATTTTTTAAATTATATTTAAGACATATTTTACATGTGTAAACATTCCTACATTATGACCATTTTTGGTACACAAGTCATTTCTGATACGATTATATTCAGTGTCCATTGAAACCTTGTTGTTGTGGCTATCAACGTCTTCGCCACTGGGTGGCAGCAAAGCTACACGTCAGACCACAATGACCAGTGGCGTTCTAGCTGGGTCACTGTTGTTGTTGTTCTCTTATACGTGTGCATGTGTTTGTAGGAGTGAACCTGTTGGTGGGAACAGAGAGTGGTCTGATGCTGTTGGATCGCAGCGGTCAGGGCAAAGTTTACCCTCTGATCAATCGACGACGCTTCCAGCAGATGGACGTCCTGGAGGGACTCAACGTCCTGGTCACGATATCAGGTACACACACATACATGTTGGTCTGTAGCTGTGAGGACACTCAGTGACACAATGCATTCCTCAAACCCTTACCCTCAGACACACTGGGTGGTGAACTTCAGCAGCTCAGTTAATGTATTTACATTTGTCTTTGTGTGGCTACTGTTACTAGATTACTGTAACTGTTTATTAAAACAAAGATGAGGAATTAAAAAAAAAGAACACACACTGACTAAAATATCCTCACAATGTCAAAACATCCTCAAATGATGACTTCAGGCTAAACTTTGTCCACACAACCTTAGAGAGACATGTACACACACTCACACCCTCACAGTACTTTGGGACATGCACGCCTACAGTATCATTACACTAACGTTTATGTTGATGCAGCAACATTAGTCCCGACTGCAATGAACAACATAAAGTAAACAAAAAAGTAATGGACAAACAGACACAACCGCACACAAGCTGTGTGTACAATAGAAACCTCTGCAATAAAATATGTACAAACTACTATACGCATGGAGATAGACCAGCCATAACATTATGACCACCTGCCTACTACAGTTTACATAGGAGTCCCTGTGGCAGTCGGTCGGCACTCGTGTCACTCTGCAGCTCACTGTGCATCTTCTGTGAATCCATTTGCTTCCACAGTTCTACTGACAGGAAGAGCACAGATGTGTCTACATTTCAGTGAAAGACTTAAGTAAAAGGAGTGAAAACTGGTCATGAGGACGAGTTAGAGAGAATTATTTAGACCAGTCCAACAGCCTCACCGCTCTAGGTGTGATATCACCACTACAGCCCCCGACTCTTTCTCTTCATACAGACCAATGGACAGTGTTTCTCATTTTCAACCATTATAACAAAGATTCAGATAAATGTTTTGAACAGTACAAATGGAAGTTAAAAGTTTAATCTACAG